GACCAAAGAGATATTCCTCTCATTCAACCAACTAAGTACAAAGCCAACCCAGGACACTGTTAGGGGCGTAGCCAGGATTTTTGCAGAGGTACGCACAATTCTCCAAATCGCTTTGCACCCCTCCCTCCCCACCCCACTTCCCAGAAAAACTTCCTTGATTAAAGATTTGGTTACGTTGTTAGTCTAAGGAGTTTTTTCTGCATATGAAATGACACTTATGTCCAGGATTGAACACTGTTCCCCAAGCAATATATCAAGCGTTACAAACAACAAAAATGAACTTTGAAAACTGATAGGCAAAAAAGTTTTCCAAAATCACATTTGCAATCGGTCACGCAACGCTCCTGGGTGACGACACTACAAACGGCTGTGTAGTAGACTAGATCACTCTATGCATATCTGTTGTTTTGACCGCGGTTCACTCCGTATGGTGGCAGTTCCTACTGTTTCAATTTTACGTTTGTTTCCTGACACGTCAGCTCCATTATGCACAAAAAGACTGGCTCTCAACAGAACAGTTGTTTGCTTATTGTGAAAGACAGTCTAAAGTATAACGGAGTACACTTCAGTCTTCTAAAAACTCTTGTTGCATTTCCGGTAGCTCAATTGGCAACGGCCAAATAACCGATACTTCAGGAATCTACTTGCTTTTTGCAGCGTGTGCTGCTAAAGGCAATTGCAATTGCGGGCTCTGTCAAAACTGTTCATAAGAAGATCCAGCTAAGCTTTTTTCGGTTTGTACTCTACAGACTCGACACAAAATGACGATTGAATAACCAGGTCTTTACGAAAAAGGGGGTTTGATAAAGAACACAAGGAGGTGAAGGAAATGGAGGGGAGTATTAGATGTTTAGTCGACGAAATATCCCACTATAATTTGCTCCAGCTTCAAAGATCCACTTTTTAAGAACTTTGTGATACCTTGTGAAAGTTCTCATGAAGATCTTAAAGTTAGAGGACCTGATGAGTTCGATTTTTCTGTTTATAGAAGAGGGTCTCAATGGGGTGGTGGCTTTTACGGTTATCGACTAAAATTTTGGCTTTTTTACGGCTATCGGTTAATTTTTTTCAGTTACGGTTAACAAAAAAGTTAAAAATTAACTTCTTTTGTTTCAAAAAGTTAAATATTAATTAACCTGTATTTTTTGTATCTTTAAAGCAAAATAAAGAGGTCTTAGGATCATCTCGGGCTGAAATAAGCTATTCTTTTGAAAAATTTTAACATTTGATGGATCATACTTTTTATAAAGTATTCCACTTCTTATATTATTTTACACATATAAATGTCAATAGTCAATTTAAAAATAATCTTTGTGAAAAAGCAAAGCACACACGCGCACGCCCAACTCAAGGCCTGGGCCCGACATTCATTACAACAGAAATGGCCGTTTTCACATTAGAGACGGGTTATTCGTGTGAGATGGGTTATCCGTTTGATGATTCGCGTCAGATAGGTAATGTCTTAATTTGAAAATGGAATAGTTTTAATTTTGAATGAACAATCCGCCTGACTTTATCCGTCAATTTCGACGGACAGTTTGAAGACGGGATTATCCGTTCCAGATAGCCTGTGTACAGCCGCCCCCTCCCCTCAGAAAAAATCGGAGAAGGGGTGTCTGTCGGGAAGGGGGCGATTGTACACAGGCTAGTCTCAGACGGATAATCCATTTCTAGCTCTAGTGTGAAAACGGCCGATAACAAAATTCCCGTGTCCAGTGTTTTTAATGATAGCGAAGGAATGTACGGAACGACTGTCAGCCGTTGCATTGTCCGTAGTCCTCATCATCGCGCGGCTAATACGTTTCGGGTCACGTGGTCCGTGCGAGTTCG